CAACTTGTTGGGAAGCGATTGGCATTTTTCTCAAAGAGTCTTTGTTTGGCTGCAGATTCCAGTGACCTTGCTGGACACCGGCATGGAGAGGGAGTGAGCAAGAGACAAAGGAAAAGAGAGGGAGGTGGATATAGGGAGAGGGGGGAGGACTGAGGCCAAAAGAGGAGACAGAGGAAGAGAAAAAAGAAGACGGAGGAGTGCTGTAGAAAAATGAAAATAAAACATGAGCATGAGAGATAGAATAGTAAAAGAAGAAAACAATAAAAAGTCTGTGCAAGAGAGATTGCGAAATAGAGGAGTAGTGAAAAAGACATAGATTAAAACATACAAGCCAGAGCAGAAAGACAAATAAGAAAGGGCTAGAGAAACAGAAGAGAGGAAAGTATCGGCTTTGGCGATAAACTCGCAACCAGAGACAGAGTGGGGAAGGTGTGTGTGATTGTCAATTTGTGTATGTAAAAGAGAAAGAGACAGCATCTGTATAGAACTGGTGTACTTATATGAGAGAGAGTGAGAGAAAAACAGAAAGAGGGCAGAGAAGTGTTTGACAAAAGGCTTTTGTTGTAGAAGTGGCCATTTTGAATCTTCTCCTGGTTCCGGATGGCTCCACTTCACTGTGGCCCAGCCTAGTTGTTTGGCCTAGTTTCTCATTAAGTCTCCACTTACACAATGACACAATGACAGCGTTTACTCCGTCGGCCTACTCTCTATTTATGGAAAACATCATCACAATTCCTCCAGACATGGCGCAGCTCGATGTGCACAGATGAGTTTCCCTCCCAAGGGCAGCACATGATCTTATAACATTTTTGCTCTTTGAAGGTTTTACCAGTGGTTATGCAAGTTTAAGCCTGTTAGCCACAAATTGCAAACCATTTTTCAACAAGGATTGTTTTAAGGGGTCTTCTTCTTTGTCGATTTAAAGATTCTGTGGCATCCAGGTTTTGACTCTGTGACTAAACAGCTACTACTTTAATGAAAGGAAGAACTTCTCTTATAAGTTTTGACTTAAAAACTGAAAAATAGCGTGCCAATGAAATGCGCTCCTGCAGCAATCTCAAATGTTAGTCGAAAATAACAAGTTACGAAATCGGTCAAAACAGCAACTACGTTATCAAACAACAAACTAATGGTGGCTAATTGCTCACTGAGACTGATAAGCTATCTCAAGCAGGTTTTTAGCTGCTACACATTGATTTTTATGCTGCACTGGTATCAAAAGGAACATGTTGGCAGACATTTCAGTTTAGTATGCAATCCAATCATTTAAGTTATTTATCAAGCACAGATGCCAAACATTTAATGGTTCTAGCATCACAAAAACGAGGATTAGGTGATTTTCTGTGTTTTATATATGGTTTTAAATTAAAAAGCTTTGACTGCTAGACAACACGTCACGTCACCTTGGAATCTCAGTGCTTGTGATGAGCATTTTTCATTATTTTGTCAATAAAAATATTTATTAAATTAATAATTGACAGAAAAATTATTATAATCAAACTACTCTCTCTGTATTTACACTGCTACACACTACACACTGGAGGGAAAGCAGCCACAGCGTAAAAACCTTGGTTTGTTTCGTTCAGTGCGTCCCGAGTAGGGGAGACCGGGTATGGTTGTAACATGGGGAGAGGTGTAACAACACCAATTCCGCCAAATAGAGATAAGAGAGGAGTTTGGTGATCATTTCAGTATTTACCTTCTTCCTCCCCAATCAGGCCTGGTGGTTATCAAGTCTAGAAACAGGCATATTCAGAATATATAGAGGAAAAAAATGATTTTGAGGTAAGAAAGTACATTTTTTGACCAGGAGTATTTTTTGTTCTATACTATTGCAGATAGAATTGTTTGACTTATATTAGATTGAAATGGAGTTTCTCAGGCAACATGTGATGCATTTTTTCCTTTCTAATTTCAAACCGCTATGGAAATACAGCTAGCTAAACAACCCACCCCACCCTGACAGGGGTGTCTTTATCTTTAAATAGTGTTACAACCATCCACGATACCTAAAACTAGGTACTTTCTTGATTTTAATATTTTCCAGATTGCCCTATGCGATCTGGGTCCACCAAACCCGCACTCCAGGGTTATCAGCATTAATTTGTCAGCACTATGACCAGTACTCCCCATTCACATGTTGGCGTGTGTATCGTCACTCGACCTTTTCCATTCTCTGTCTCTGCTGGTGGAGAGGGTAGAAAAGTGAATGGGCAGCTTGTGAGAAGTGCCTGTGCGCAAGAAGAAGTCCCGAGCTGGTATACGTACCGATGAATACCGGCTCACTGACTGTGACCCTGAATAAGAATATACACACATTGACACACACACCTCTTTTTAGTTAGACCTAAGTATGTACAGACATGTTCTTTAATTAGGAACATTTTAGTAGTATTTATTAAGTATACCTTTAAGTAAGTTTATTCTATAGATAAATTTACATACACATATTGTTCATGCACATGAGTCATCAGACAAAGTCTGTTACAGCAAGAGAGAAACATTGTTCTTTGATATCACTACCTGTTTTGGAAGATTATCATGTAGTGTGGCATCTATTTTTGATTCTTTTGTGATTGTTACAACTTACCCCAGCATGTGTTACAACCTACCTCGCTATTGGGGTAGGTTGTAACAAGGGAACACATTGCATTTGACATCAACTCACGAGGTCTGTGATATTCTTTAAGAGGATTGAATTGGTGCCATTTGCAGTGAACGAATGTGGGTACTTTGTATAAAAATTTGAGAACTCTAGCTAAAAAATTCAGTGAGTTATAGTTGCTGAAGCAAAAAGTGTTACAACCTACCCGGTCTCCACCTGAAAAACTGCTTTGGGAAACCCCAGCAGAAACAGATACAGTATGCTGGAATGACCCAGACGCGATGAAATGCCAGCAGATCGTGCATGAATATGCAAAATGTGATTTACCAAACCTAAATGCAATTTCACGTAGTAGTGCACAGATCACGCGTAAAATTCATCCAGCCAGAGGGAACAATCACCGACCTTCCGCACCGTGCCCGGTCGCTCCACGATCTCCTGTCCTTGGCCCTCTCTCCGATACCTGCAATGGGTTGTGTCGCTATATTACGACCGGCGCGCTGTGAACAGTTGGTGATCGTTACCTCTGGCTGGATGAATTTTACGCGTGATCTGTGCACTACTACGTGAAATTGCGTTTAGGCTTGGTAAATCACATTGCGTGTAGTAAATAAATGTATTTGCATGTTACGCCCCAAATTGCATATTCATTAAGGCAAAAGTACTAAATGAACAACAGGTGCTATCTTGCGCTTTTGCAAGACGTCATTCTGCGTGCACACCGTAGTAGATCAGCATACGTGCTAATTTGCTAGTGATATCAAGTTTGCACACGTTTTTACTCACGCAGACCTTTAGTAAATCAGGCCCTCAGTGTATTAAAACACTGTACAATCCCTAATGTGATAAAATGTCTGCAGCATAATGCAGGTTAGATTAGATTGGATTTACAGGATAATATCCTGAGACTTATACGGAACCAACTGCTGATCACGGGATGTAAAAATGAACTTCTCGCACAGACACACAACATCTTCTTCATACATTGACAATAAGATGATGAATGGGGCATAACCTCACTTTGCATGCACTTCAGTCAGATACATTCACACAAGCTGTTGTGCATAAATACACACAGATACACAGAAACACAGACTCACATTCAGAGAACTGTCTTATTATACAATGAGTCAGAACACCCTGATTCGTCTCCATTGATCTAAACCCTCCCAGTAGCCTCTGAGTCAGTCCTTTTGTCTTTCCTTTCTACAAGTCATTTTACATCATTCATAAAGCTGCTTATTCCACTGAAGCATTTCTATAAATGAGATTCACCGTTATACAACTGTACTGTCAGAGCTCTGAAACTTCACAATTCATCGTACAGAAGTTTACCGTCTGTTATAAAGTTAATCACCCCATGAATCCCGACTATGCTCACTTGCACACATCCATGCAGCAATAAAAACATACATGTACACACACACACACATACTTAGATGCATAGTGGTTGCAGCGAGATGCTGAGCTGAAAATTCAGCTGGGATGAGAGTGAGTCATGGAAACAGCTTAATATTACAGGCTGTCTTTCCCTTGATGTTGCTCTAGCTAATTAAGCCTTGTACCAAGCTACTCAGGTCTGTTTGAAGTATGCAAGAGACTCGCTGTAATGGTCTACTTTATGGAATACTGTGTTTTCACATTTAATTTGAATATGTTTACAACCCAAGGACCTTAGATTATACAGATAGGGCCTCAGAGCTTAATGTAGATACACCTGCATTTCCTACTATGAGTTGATTTCCAAATTTCTTGGGAAATAAAATCTCCTTCATCTGTTTATTATCTTAAAAATGCAGAAAATACAGTCTACAACCAGCCGCTTGCTTGGGGGGGGGGGGGGAATAATAATAATCATAATAATTTTTGTGCTCCCAGTAATTTTCTATGATTGCTGAGTGTGAATGTGTGATTTTTTTTAGTTGATGTATGATTTCAGAAAGACATATTTATGAGGTTTTCAGACTTGTAATGTATACTACCTATTGGCTTTAATGTGCTGCTTTTCTCACTCTGTAAGAAATATGAAAATGCTCGACTTGCTGTAAATGTCCATTTCTATACTATCAATAATTGAAACTGAATTCATTTTGAAAGAGACAGATAAGATAACCAATTATGTTTTGATAACCAAACATAACTTTGATTGCAATAATCCTTTTGTGTGATGCTGGTTGTCAAGAAGCTCATTCTACAGGTGCACTTATAAGAAGTTAATAAAGAAAATATTAAAAGTAAATGTGGTGGTGCACACTGACCTCTACTGTTAATGACATGTCATCACCCTATTCTGTAAAACATACCCCTGGGCTACTGTGTTGAGTGATGTGGGAGCAGCAGGGTCACTTAGTGGCACGTGGAGACAGAAAGGTCACAGTGTTTGTCATTTGTTTAGGATCGGAGTGCTGTGTGCATATGCTGCCAACCAGAACCTGAGCTCTCAGGTGAAGAACATACGGAGATTGGTCAACAGTAACATGAGGGACCTGCACACCTTCGCTAATGACACGCCAATGGTGAGACAGAATTATTCTATAAAACGTGTAGCATTATCACTCTGCTTTGTGTCCTACAGCGCCAACACAATATTAAATACTAAATTATGAAAGCAGAAGCAGAGAAATGCAGAGTATGTGCTGTCAATACAAACATAATCATTATATTGTACAAATCCTACAAGTTCCATTCTATAACAAAACTGTCAATTGGACAGCAATTGTTTTGGTGATTAACAACCACTACTAGTTAAAAAGGGTTCCGTTATAGTTGAATGAAAAGCCAAACATTTCAAATTCACTCAAACAAGGAATATTATTGGTATCTGTGATAGGGTGTTAAGAGTAAAAGGCAAATGTATAAACCAGTGTGTGTGCTTCTTCTGTGTCCGTCTGCTACTGATTCTAGTCATGCCTCATTTTATCACTTTATGTGCATGTGACGGCTACATATTTGTATCATTCTTATTCCATGACATTTCAGAAGCCTAGGTTTTAAATCTCACTTTACTTGTGTGTTTTTAGAAGAAACATCCAACAAAATGCTCAGTTTGTTTAACATTGTTTAACGTGTGTTTATGAAGACCAGTTGTATTTTGTTTAAAGCTAAATATTTTTCTCCATTTCATTTTGACAAATAACATGAACTGAAATTGTGCTATTCTTCAGAGTGCTGTGATGAGACTAACGAACTAATTTTCAACTGCTTCTATTTGTAAGACACTGCTCTGTTGTGTTTCCTGTTTGCAGCAAATTGATTACCTAATATCCCAATATGCCACAGCAAAGAACAAAGTCATCTATGACCTAGATAGTAAGTAGACCTTCCTCTGTTCTTCTGATAGTGAATTAAGTGTACAGAAACGATTACAGAGTTCTTGCTCTTGGTTGTATATCGTGCTAATTTTCTGAATTAACTGTGTCTACTTTCTTTGACTTGTTTTCACAACAGATTTGTGACATAACTAGGTCTAGATAGCTACAACAGTGACTGGTATAGAGGATCCCTTAAGTATTTATGCTATTTTCCTGCAAAATTACTGAATGCAGTTCTTTCCTGAAAGTTAAGACCTGCAAAAGCAGTATTAAGTAGCAAACATAATAAAGAAAAGGACTGACAATTTTATTGTTCTCTTCTGTTAATCTGACGATGCATTCTCTACAGATATAGGTCCATTATTGGGAGGAAGGATACATGATCAGTTGGATAAGGAGGTCCATCCTGCCTTGGACAGAGTTCTCAATATGGCTGCAGGTATATCCACATAATTTTCATTTTTTTCATCCTACTTTGTTATAATATGATCATGTTATTGTAAGCTGCAAGCTACTGAATACAGGCAACAGCTGCACTAAAAAATATTATGAGTCAGTAAGTGACATATAATAAACTGCCGTATTTGCAAATGTTGTCAATTATTTAGGATAATCGCAAGTCAGATTATAACCTTGATTATCAGATTCCCCCCGACTAAATGTATGCTGTAATACGATTTTAAAACTCTACTGAAGATTGTTAAGACATATTCTGCATTGTGAATATAATATTTCCGTAACATTTTTTGGAATCTACAGTAATTTCAGTATTTTTTTTCTCAAAGGTCAGTGAGTTAATAAAGCTGTCACTTGTAATAATCATTCAGAATTTAATCTTTATATTTTATGCTTTTTTATAAAGTGAAAATCGAGAGAGCCATCAAAGGTAATAAATCAGTCAATGGACAATGACCCACAATCCTTTTACCCCTGACCTTGTGAACCTTTGCACTGGTGTTGCTCCTGTGATATGTTCCCTTGTGATCTTCCTTGAGCACACGGACCTATCTGAACCCTGAGTTACATTTCAGGTTACGACGATCAATTAATATATTAAAACTGCACTACGCAATGTGTGACTGGTGACCACAAATGGCTGATAATGTTGTTGGATATTATGTTGCATGATATCTGCCATGTCTTGGATTTAAAGAAGTCATAGAGACTTGTAGGGAAGGAAAACAGGCCGCTGTCTTTAAAGAGTCTGGATTCATCTCCAGCATACGCAAATGATTTTCTGCTAGTGCTTTCACCAGATAAATACTGTAGTTTTTATGTGCAAACAGAATGAATCTGAGAGGTTTTTTTTCCATTTATGCATATTAACAAATATGATAAAATCTTGCCTAGTGCAGTTTTAAGTTAATGGCAACATAACCTGCACCTGGACATCTCCCTTTTTACTCCAATTGTGTTAACCCACTGTGAAGTGTGACCTGTCCTGTTACTTTATTATAACTCTTTTACCAGAAATTAGTTCCTCTATGTATCACAACAAACAGCTGTATATGGATGTTTCGAATACATGGAATATACAGGCTTAAAGCACAACAAAAACAAATAGCGGTCAGCAAATATGCTGATAGTTCCTGTGGTAAAATGCCTGACCACAGATGACTGTGAACACAGTTTGTGTCCTTAATGTTTGTGTATTTTGTGTTTGTGTAATTGTGTTCCTACTGGGGTCAGAGGACTTCAGTATAGTATAGATCGTAGTGTGTTTTATTAGATATTTGAACTGTTTGAATGCTAAAGACCAAAATAATTGGAATTAAATACTGCATTTTTCACTGAGGCATAAATAGAAGTGAACATGCTAACTATTTATGCATTTAGCTCATAGCATCCATCTGTGTTTTCTCTCCCTCCAGTGCTGCTAGGCATTTAGCTATGTAATAGTAAATTCACCATTTCCTCTCCTGCATCTTTTATACGAGTGTTCAAGGATGCCAGTGTTTTTTTTGCATTCTTTATCCTGTTAAATTTTGAATGTCTGCTGCGGTTGTCTTGTGATGCATTCAATTGCTGGGGAAAGAGTTAGTTACTAACACCAACTATTTTTATTAAAAGCAAACAAATTCATTAATTCATAGCATTACTGTTTGGCAGTCAAAGATAGTAGAAAATTTTAGAAGCTGGAGATTCACACAAGCATATGAACACGGCAAAGACACACTCCTTGCCAAACTCAATAACAAGCGCCAAGGCTTGGATCTGAAACTCTATTTGATAAACTCGGCTCAGGCCTAGTCTTTACAAGGAATGAATACTTTGTGTCCTGCATAAGTCTGTGCTTTTCTGTAACATGAGCAAATATTATACAAACTGTCTTTTTGCTGTGTAGCTTCATATTAAAAGGCTAATTTGTCATCCTTGATGCCACTTTCATAGGTAACTTATCAATAGATGATTGTACTACTATACTAGCTACTAAATCTGTTTCACTGGTTAAACATAAAGTTATTTGACATTTTTATATGCCCCAGAAACACTAGATTCATAAAGTTATTTTACTACTCTGAATATAAGTTTGCATTTATACGCTTGCTGTTATAACAATTCCCAAAACTTTCCCATGACAGAACTAAAAGATTTCAATAAAATATTCACAATTCCTTGTGTCATTTTGTAGCCGAGCTACACAGTCTAAAGCTCATGAGAAAAAAGCCTCACAAATCATTTAATTTGACCTCAAAATATAAGTTAGCTAATGAGAAAAGTGTACTTGTTTTCAATATAGCTGAGTAGGTAAGACTATCTAAGTTTGCAATGGAAAGAATTGTCTCACTTCAACTTTCCACTTTTGTGGTAGGAAATTTATGCTATCAGTCGTTTCTGTTGATGAGCATTTGTCCTTCACATCCTGGTTTTCCCCTCATAACAGCAACCCAATCCACTTTCAATCTCATCTGTGGTCTCTTTAAATCCAGCCATGCGAGAAACCAAGGAAGCCCTGGAGAACGTCAATGTGGGTCTGGAGGTCCTCCAGGAAGGAACAGGGAAACTCAACTTCAACCTGAGTCTGGTCCGGAGCAACATCAACCGCACCCTCAACGACCCAGGTTGTCATGACGAGGAGTCAGACGCCACCTCTGCCCAGCTGTGCCGCAACATCCGACAGTCACTGTCCCAGCTGCAGATCAGTGCCAACTTCACACGGGTACATGACTGAATGCAACACTCTAATATGCAGATTATACAGTAAGCTATGAACACAAATGTAATTATTCTTCCTAAACAACCATGGGTGTTTCCAGACCATGAACTGCGATGGCTGAAGAAACTGCAACTTTTTTTCTTACTCAAGTTCTGTTAAATATGTCCTACTGTTTTACTATGCTCCTTTCCAAATAGGATGTTTTCAGCCATTTATGTGATAACTTCTATCAACTACATTAAAATGTGAATATGTGTTGAATCTTGGAAATGGAGTCTTAATACACTGATTTGGCTTTTACCGACTGCATGATGTTCTCTAGCATTACTGCATGTTAGAAAAGGGACAGAGATCACTGAATATTGATATGAGATTGTTGAATGTTGATAATTTCTCACTGTGTATGTTAATCAGTGTTTGATTGTATGTTTATATTTAGCTATCCAACGTGAACGCTCAGCTGGAAAAGGTGAACAACGTCTTGAGAACAGACCTCAGTGCTATCGTCCAGAGGGTGAGTCTGGCCCATAAATCTATAGATATTCTTACACTGTGAATTGTGTTATGTCAGCGCAGCTCTAGGAGCAATTTAAAAGTTGTTTTTCAGTAGGTGCCTTGTCTACTTGTGCTTCCGTTAGTGATTTCCAGTATTTTTCAGAATGCCTTTCATTTGCCATTTATTAAACTAAATAATGACCCTAAAACAACATAATGGACCATCTAACCCCATGTTCCAAAACATTTCCTCTCACAGGGTTTTTCCTCTTTGAATGACACACCACATATGGTGATTGAACAGACCAGAAGTGTTGTGGACAGTAAGTGACATTTTACACTTTTGAGCAAAATTAGGTGGATTTGAAGTTTGAATCTGATGTTGAATCTAACTTAAAATGTATAACATTTGTAATCTTTCATATATGCAATGTGTTAATATCTTAATAATTTAACTTAATATCAACCTATCAGAAACCAGACAAACCATTAACAATTGAGCATATTTCTGAGTACTGAATTACAAATTTTACAGCTGACAGCTTCCTTTATTTTTCCTGTATCTTTAAGTATCCATTAACTGATGGATTAATGGATTGATCTGTCTCTCAGGTGTACAGAGTTTAGTGGACGGCATTGGCAATAACATCAGCAGCTTTTCCAAAGTATTCCCTGTTCAGAGTTGCCTGTCCAACTTCACCATCTTCATTAGCCATGCCCATGCCAAGATTGAGGACTACTACCCTGAGATTGACAAAATGGACTTCTACAGGTAAACTGACAAAAACAGAAAAAAACCCTATAAGCTGTAAAAATAAAAAAAAAAAAGTACTGTGGGCATTGTCTTGATGCTTGACATTTAGTTTCATGCTGTCTGGCTCGACCATACTCTTTTCACAAGCTACTGTAAAAAAGAATGTATGCTGTGTAAGCTTGCACTGATATTTAGCCTTAATGAAATATGCATATAATTTCTGCATTAACTGAGTTGAAAATAGTGAAGCAAAGAAAAAAAACAGCTTTGTAGTACATTTTCCTTTTATATTTCTATCAGCAAGGAGGTAGGGCTTCATTTTCTTGCTCAAGACCTTTTAGCAGGACACACATATGCTGATCACTTACTTACGTTATTTTAAGGCCACAGTGGAAGTTTAAACTGTTTAGCTTTTCCTCCTGCTTACAGGTGGATTGGCTGTATTGCTCTTTGCTGCATGGTGGTCCTGGTCCTGGCCTTTAACTACCTGGGCCTGCTGTGCGGCACCCTGGGATACGACAAGCATGCCTCACCTACGACACGAGGCTGCATCTCGAATACAGGCGGAACAATGCTCATGGCGTGAGTCTACCACATTTGAGATTTCAAACTGAAGATGGTGTTGCCAAAAAAAAACATTTTCAAGTCAATTTGATGATGGTACATCTTACAACTAATATTTTTAGTACTACTTCCTCTTATAATAGGAGAACTACTAGCACTTGAATAACTGCTATTACTTCTACACTACTACAACTGCCACTACTACTACTACTTCACTAGACTATTTACTGTACATGCTACAGTACTTCTAAAAGGTAAAGAATATAAGAGCATATAAACAAAATCGTGTAAAACCATGAACATCTGAAGAGCAATAAACAGCTAAGTTGTCCTGGAGGTAGTAGCTAATGCAAACAAAGCAAAATACAAAAATGTAATATATCTGAACAAACTGATGCATTGCACCTGTTCCCATAAGAATAACTTGCATGTAAAATATAACATTGTGTTTGCACAAGAAAGTTATTTATTTATACACTATAAATGTTTCCCACAAGATGAAAATGTACCATATTTGGAATTTTAGGGGCTTATAAGGCAACAACTTTTTTTATGTTTAAATTATTTTAAAATAATTAATAAATTTTTGTAACTTCCCCCAATGTATTTGAAATGTCCTGTTTTTTGTGCTATAAATTTGAGATACTGATACAGATCCAAGGTAAACTGATATTATAACTACTAATGCATCTTTTAATTCCCCTCTTCCTCTTGCACAATGTTTACATCACATTTTACATTAGGCTGACACTGCTTACAGTCACTGAACTCCAATCTACCCACTTACACTACTGCTACACCTTTACCTCTTATTGTTCCATACTTCGATATACCTGAGGGCCTGTCTGTCCTTCTCCACAGCGGCGTTGGATTTAGCTTCATCTTCTCCTGGGTGTTGATGGGAGTGGTGACCGTTATCTTCCTGGCTGGAGGAAACATGGAGAAACTTGTTTGTGAACCCTTCCACACCAAAGAAGTCTTCAAGGCAAGTCATTAGTCCAGACACGAGACAGCGGTTAATCCCCCTAAAAATAATAAGTACAAACAGGCACCTTCACTGCAGGACATGTACAGGAGTAATTTAACTGAATTTTCATACACAACATGTAATTTTATGTTTGATACATACAAAGTGCCCTGGACTCTATGGACTTAAATCTGTAGTGTTCATATACAGTACCCAAACCTCTAAATGAGCAGACAGTTAAAATTAAGACACCTCCTCTGTACTATTTACTGCATACAAGTCAGTGACCTTCGGGTGGTATTGTGAGAATAGCAGTTGCGCCCAGTTGTGGATGACATGATGTTGTTTGCATGAATCCTGCTGCAGTTGAGCCAACTATGGTATAGAACAGGGGTTTGTGTGAGGCGGGCCTCCCTAGGGGGGCTCCAAACAGTTTCAGGGGAGGCTCAGTGAATGGAAATGAAACAATAGCACATTACTTATTGCATTAGTTATCAAAAGGTGATGACATAGAATATGTGTGAGAGTTCAGAGATACAGTAGTTTAGGGGAAAAGTCCCCCCCCCCCCCCCCCCATCAGAGTCAGAAACTAATAAATGGCTTAGGACAGACCTTTTTTAAAACTATTTGGTGTAGTCAGACGTTATGTCAAACAGCAATATTCGGCTATTTTGGCTCAAATGTTGAGTGTCTATGGGATAAGATATTATAATCATGATCTCATAGACATCCAGGAATTGAGTGAAATTTACCAAGTAAATTAAAGATGGGGGCGGGGGGCATTTCCCAAGCTTTGTATGAGGAGACACCCGCAGTCTCAGACTTTGAAAACCCCTGGTATAGAACATCTAAATTTGGCTCCTTTGAAAAAGGTTATAAAGCAAATTTGTCTTTTGAAATATATTTTCTGCCTCTCAATTTATCGGATCTCAGTTCCTTATGTGTCCCTCTCATCTTTCTTGCTCTCTAAGTTCAGGAAAACTGAGTGGAAGATTTATACAATATTAGTCAGGATTAGTTCCACAACCAATTATTACAGTACAACATGGAAAGATTTACCAAGCAAGAACACTGCTTTGTTTGGGTCTGAGAGTTGGTCTTGAATAACCCTGGTCTTAAATTGAGTCAAGTGTATTTCATTTACTGATACATCCTATTTGCTTCCCATTACAATTACTGATCACACATCCTCTTTGCTGGATCTCTTAATTCGCCAGGTCGTGGACAACCCATATCTGGTCAACCCAGAGTGGAAGAACTTCATCCCTGGCTACATGTACAACGATTCCAACCTGGAGCTGACAGCAGAGAGCTTGTACAGGCAAAGCAAACTCATTTTTATGTATTTAGGTGACAGTGTTGTGTCTGCCACCTTTCAGAAACAATGCTTTGGTGATGATTATTCTCCTCACAGCCTACTGCACATCTGTCCTCTCTAAATTTCAAGTTTACGTTTGGTTGCAAAACTGAAAGGATTTTGCAGCAAGACAAGCCATTTATTCAATTATAGGCTGTAGAATTTTTCACATTTTGTTTAAATTGCTATTAACCTTGCGTTGCTCATTAGCATAATATTTCTAAACTATCCGTGCTGCTTTTCTTCAGCCTCTTTCTCAGTGATTACATCAGCTTTCGTCATCTCCCTGCAGTGAGAAGCTGCATATTCTCAGTATTGGGATGGAAGACCCACAGTCATTATATTTCCAAATAGAGCAGTGTTGCTTCAACAAGTCTTCACCGATCAAAAAGCAAGCACTTCTAATACTGTGTTCATTATGTGAGTCTATATAGTATGTGGCTGCCTGAATGTTATAAAGGAACTTTTATCTTTTACATATTAGCATATAGTCCACGCTTTTGAGGAACGCTTTTCTATCAGGGAACATGTACTTCCAGTCAATTTCACTTGGTGGCAGTAAATATTTTCACTCTGAAACTTTTGACATTTCCTCTCTCTCCCCCTCTCTTCCTTTTTCTCTGTTATACCTGTGTATGTTTGTTGTATGTGTGCCTTTTTTAGTACTTGCAAAGAGAACAAAGGCATCTACTCAGCCATGCGTCTGGACAAGGTCTTTAACATCTCCTCTTTCCTGAACACTACAGTGGTCAGTAAATTCAAGACACACCATTATTCTGTCATTTGCTGTTGGGACTATTTGAGTGTCTTTGTATAGATTTTTTTGCCTTTACCCAATAGAGGAACTTAACTGGTGGAGACACGGCATTTAAAAATAACCAGAAGTTTTACTACTTAAGACAAATTACAAATAATGAATATTAGGCTAGGAAGTGTTGCTATAATTTAGCCTAACTGATCAAACATATGTTAATTTCATAAGTTCTGATATCACTTATGTGTCAGAGCAGAAAATTTTGCTGACCTCACAATACAGTTATGTGATTAAAGTAAGCACACAGTAAGGGAGCCCTGTATGCTACTTTAGCTCTGTTTTCTAGGTATGTATGATAATTTCCTACTGTAAACTATACTAGTAATCGTCATAAATTACTATTATGGTCAGGTAAAATACAGTGAATCAATGCACTGTGCTACATGCTCAAACAAGGGTTAGAATTAATAAAATATGCCACTTCTATATGCTAACAGTGATGCTGTCCAGAAATGTCCATCCATGGCTGCAGCATTTCATTAGCATTACCTAATGACGTCTTTGCTGCCAAACCAAAGTGTGTGCTGATGGCCAATAGCTGGTACATGATTCAGCCCTTACCTCAGTGTGTGCCTGAGACATTACATTAATGTAAGTTCCCAGTTCTTTTTGACCCTGAGCCAGCCACTTCTGCCTGCCTGAGACATTCAGTACTTTCCTGCCAGTTGGCAAGATTGTTTTGGCTCGTTTTAGCCAACAACAATAGTCCCATGCTGCATCTGTTTCTGCACACTGGTCATTTGTCTTCATTTAAAGCCTGCAAATGTTTTAACTTTCCATAATTGTGACACCCTAACTGACAGAATTTCAGTAAAACAGATTATGAGTCAGTTATTTTAGCACTTGCACAGGCTATAAAAACAATTCTTAAGAAATGATGAGAGTCTCTTAACACAATAAGTAAAACAGACTGTTTTTTTGGATTTTTGCTGCCAGAAACCTTTCAAATTGTGAATACTTGTCACATCTAAATGTTGCCTTATTTTTAGTCTGATTAACAACATGCGTTATCAGTTCACTTCAGAAATAAAAGGTTCTGGCCGGATTCTCAGATTGCCCATGTGATTTCATACATTAATCTTATTCAAGCTGGTCAATCACACTCACAAGTGATGCATCAGCTTGATGATGCTGTAGTGTCACTTTTGTCAACATGATCATTAAATTTTGATCAATTTAAAAAAAAAAAAAAATAGGACACATGACCTACAAATACAATGTCGTGTAGGTTCATAAGAAGTTACTCAATATAGACTTGCTCAAGAATAAAATTAGGAAATACTTTCTGCATTGACTTTATATGTTGTTGCCAATGTTAGCATCAAAATACAACTTTACTTGCTGTAACTCCCCTTTCAAAACAGTTTTACTTATCATCCCACCACAACAACAGAAACATTCGCAACAAGATAGCGGCTAACGTCAGCCTTTACTTGGCTAGCTAAGTTAATACTTTGGAGCTGCGTTAGCTCATGGCTAATGTTGCTCTAAAGTGTTTCAGCTGAAGGAGCTTTATCTTGCCTAACAACGTCCCTTATTTAGCTAGTTGTAGGAGTAAGTTAAATGCAAATCGTACACTTTTAAGAAATAATACATGTTCAACATTTTGAACTGACGATGTGTAATTATATTTAAAATGACTGTCAAAATATAAACTGACCATTCACAGACATTCATCTCATATTATATATTTAATATTTTTTCTTACTGTTGAACGCACATGAGAAATAACGTCCATGCGTGCTACTGCGTCGTATTGCTTTGAGTTGATTGGTTGATCAAGAGAGCAGAAATACCATTGGTTATGGTTTATCCAATCAAATTCCTTGCAGGTATAAAATGAATTCAACTAACCTTTCCGTTTAGGCCTACTTTTGGCGCGCACACACAGATATTAGCGTTGATTTTGGATGTATTTTAAACAGTAGATCATGATGTGCCCATTTTATATCTCTGTCAGGCAATACTGTATGATTCCGTGTGTCTTGACCATAGACTGTATATAAGAAATCTGAAATCAGTACATTGTAATTATTCGAAGCAGTACTGCTAATGGCTTGGTAATTGTAACAAGTGATTTTCTTTGTCTCTGTTGGCTTATTCCATTAGCACACTGTCTCGTTGCTTACTGTAAATTAAGCCAATATTCACTTTTTTTGCCCAGTAAATAAGTTTCACTAATTGGATTGTATTTACACAAAATCAGCTTAAATTTCTAAATTAAAATGCTTTTCGCATTTTACTTTGATATAAAATCATAATTTCAGAAATGATGGGTATTGTTACCAATGAAGCATTCTGAAAAACAAATTGAAGATTTTTATATTCAGTAGAATAACTTAGTAGGGTGGACATTTTTTTGTCCTGCCCATCCACATACAGTGTCAGTACCATGTTATCTTAGGAACAAACAACTTTACTGCCAACATTTTTTGTTATATTTGCTTTATAGTGCCACAAAATAGCATATGTTCTTGTTTTTAGTGGTGAAATTGCACATTACTTTTCAAAACATCCCATTTAAAAAACATGTTGCCCAACTTATGTCTTTCTATGATTATGGCTTTCAGAACAGATGAACAAATAAAACATTATAAACAATATTACAAAGCTCTTTATAGTTATTGACACATAAACTTGTGGTCTTAGACATTTTGCTTCTACACGTCTGCCTGGTAAGAATAGTTTGTTGTCTCTTAGTTTAATACCTAAGAATACTATTGAAATGGGATATGTGTCTTCCATCAAAGCAAAATTTTCAATATCTTTGGTCTCCCAAGTTCCAACATTGTTTTTTTTTCTTTTATTATGTTAAAGATGTTTATTTATACGTAAGGTAATTGATACCTGAGGTGATTAATATCCATGTTTTTTTAGAAATCTTGGCAAGTGATGTAACTGTTTAACCATCAAGCTCCAAAATAACCACTCTACCAAATGTTTTGATGTTAGGTCAAGAATATAAGACAATCAACACACTTCATTACACACAACTCAACATAAGGCATTTAGCAACAATAGAATAAGCTTTAATATTTAAACAATAAAGCTTTTTTGTGTGTACAGTTTACTAAGGATGTGGTGAGTCAGCTGGACAGTGTCAAGATCGACCTGAGGGGAATAATCCTGTTAGAGGCAGAGGGCAAGCAGAACCTCCTGGATTTCTCTGAAGCCGGGCTGTCAGAAATCAACTATGCAGACTACCTGGAAGAGGTGACACACGTATACTCACACAAACACAACACAATAAACACAAACAGATGCACATATCTGACACATCTGGATGAGCGGACCCATAAGTACCCTAACAGCAAAAATGAGAGGAAACTTAAAGGGACACCCCCAAATTCAGAAACTGAAGGAATGAGCTGAAAACACATAAAATACAAGGGCAGACAAACATGTACACAGTAAATAAATATGAACCAACTGAAAGTTAGGAAATAAATGTCAAATTAATCTTTTTTTTTTTTTACTGTGAATTGAACCAGTTAGTTTGCAATATGTGGCTATATGACATCAAGAGTTGGCTCTCTATGAATACCAGTTTATTTGTGAAAGATCAGTGTAAATATTGGCAATAGATTGTTCTATACATATACTAATATTATTGTATTACACTTGTACTATAATGGTATGCTACCAGAAATAGCTTTGTTCCTAAGGCTTGGTTAAACAGCCTCCTCCCTAACTATCGGTTAACATACAGCAGGCAGTCATGCTTTACCTAATATGAACTTCGACATGACACAGTACACCGGGTCCTGTTAAGGACCACTGAAGCTCGTTTATCCGAAAGGATTCCTGCCAAGGCAAAGAGTGTGTAGGAACAAGCCGAGACTTGGCATTCACTGTCTTCCCCAACACTACCTGTCAGGTTCACTTAGATTTACTTCCTGAAAGCAAAAGGACTCAGTTCAAGTGTACCATCTGTCCTGAAACACAACTCACACACTCTCCAAAGTCAGGATGTGAGAATTTATATCCAAAAAATGTGGGAAGCTCTCCATGTTGCATTTTTTGTACTTATTACGGAATATAATTTACTCATGTCTCAGATTACAAAATGTTAGAGCCATTCAGGTAAAACATACTGTAAGTCACCATCAAAAAGCACTCATACAATTATACAGGTTTCCAACCACTTAATTTACTTGTACCAATTAAGATCTACAGCTAATAAGACTGATTTGATCTTGGCCATCAATTAAGTGAGTTATATCTTGCAGCTTTGCAGAAAGGTGAGAAAGGGGATATATTTCACATTAACACAGCAGTCAATTTGTGAAGTACAAAAGTAGCCAATTACTTAATGTATAACAATATTTTAAATAAAATTATTTTTTCACAAGAATATTTGTTTATTTAGTCTGACCCCGTTGAGATGTAGTGAGAGCAAAAACAGTGATCGTGTGCGGGAGCCAGACATACCTAAGCACATTGAGCTTGTGAGGGTCCAGCTGGTCCTTTGAGGTTTTCGTGACCTCTAAGCCCTCTCAGTGAGGCAACAATCCCAGGAAACTCTAAAAGAAAAGAAATGCAGTTGCAAATGAGATATAATAAATATTAAGTTAGACCAGTACTTCCACCTAGTTTAGTTCATCATTTGCGTATCATTATAAACACTGTAATTCTATTCTTATAGCAAATATATATATCTGGCAGCTTTGCAGAAAGGTGAAAGAGGGGATATATTTCATTTTCATTTAGATAATACATTTTTACGCCATTGAAATTATACACTTGAGTGTTACCTCCTTCAGAAAATACTGGAGGAACATGCATTATTTTGTTGACCTGTTTTTAATCAGCTCAGTCTTATTCACGTGAAGCTTCTTTATTCACTTTAACTTAATAGTTGTTCCAAGGAGCAGTGGGATTTTATCTGCTAACAAAAGCAACACAATGACAAAAAATAAAAGAAAAACCTTTCTAATTTTGTAGCTAATAATGGACATCCCAAGTGAAAAAGAAATATACTTAAGTAGCACTTTTTTTGGATGCACTTATCATTTTTTAATTGTACTATAGTAAGTGTATATTAAATGTGTTATTAAGTATAAGTGTCATTTTAGAAATACTTAAAGTCAAGTTTAAGATAACTGCAATATACTTTAATATACTTAGTTGTGTTAAAATTGACCTATTTTAAGTACCTTTACTGTAATTTAAATATACTTTTTTAAATTGAACTTAAAATACCCTTTTGTGCTATACTTGAAGAACAGTTTAAATATATTTTAAATGTGTTCCCTAAACATTTTTATTACCATTTCAGCATATTAGTAATTTATTACAAGTATACTCCAAGAGCCATTATTAATATCTTGGGAAGCTGCTTTATGAAACCATTCAGTATGAGAATAATGCATTAAAAATATCTTGCAAAATGCCCTTTTAGCATAATAAAAATCAGTAAAAAAATTCATTTTACAACACACACACATATAGAAAACTAAAAAACTTTAATTTTGTGTACATTAAAAGGTACAGCAGCATGTATCACATCTCTCCCAAAATACCTTCAAATAAAAATAAAATCAGTAAAATGATGACATACGATCAGTATTACTGAAAAGTACACTATACACATCCCATCATTAATGTTACCCATGGGGTCCCTCATACGCCTCGGACTCTGGGCCCGACTCCGATGACCTCACGGCAAGCCGTCCCACTCCTGACACCATATGCAGCCAATGGCGAGAGCAGTCACCCTGCCCAGATTTGAACACAGGTCAACAGGGTACCAAACAAGCAACTTTGACAGCAACGCCAAAGAGCCAGGCTTGTTGGTATGGCAGTCCAAGCGCTTATTCAACTGTAGTGAAGGTTCTCCGTCACAAGCATACAGTACAAATGGTGGAACCAAGCTGAAACAGAAAAATGTCACAATCCTTATCCTTGGAGTGGAAGGTACTGACTTTGAGTAGGACTTGTTGCATTTTCTGCGACTGCAGACACTATGGGATTTGGAAACTGCTTTATCACACAGCATCTGTGGAAGGGAAAAGGAAATATTTTGTCTAAATCAAAGCAATATTACCTCTAATTAATTAACAACCACGGTCAGATTTTTTATTTTGTTTAAAGTTGCTGAAACACATTATGACATCATGTCTAGCTGTTCTGATAATGTTGTTTAGGTCCAGGTGAAATGGTTTTCCACAAGGGACCCCTCCCAGTTAATGCTCAGTTCTTCCATTACAACATTATCAAAAACATTACATAAACACTTCGGTACATTCAGCCAAGGAGCTGTATATCATAAAATGTTATTAAACAGGTACAACAAATAACACAAACATACAGACTTGCTTAAAAACTGTTCTGTCTACATGTCATTTCACATTAACACAGCAGTCAATTTGTGAAGTACAAAATTAGCCAATTACTTAATGTATAACAATATTTTAAATAAAATTATTTTTTCAAAAGAATATTTGTTTATTTAGTCTGACCCCGTTGAGATGTAGTGAGAGCAAGAACAGTGATCGTGTGCGGGAGCCAGACATACCTAAGCACATTGAGCTTGTGAGGGTCCAGCTGGTCCTTTGAGGTTTTCATGACCTCTAAGCCCTCTCAGTGAGGCAACAATCCCAGGAAGCTCTAAAAGAAAAGAAATGCAGTTGCAAATGAGATATAATAAATATTCAGTTAGACCAGTACTTCCACCTAGTTTAGTTCTTCATTTGCGTATCATTATAAACACTGTAATTCTATTCTTATGGCAAATCTTTATTATTATTATTCTTTATTTAATTTTCTTGAGCTAAGGCAGGAAATTCCAAATCTGGGTTTAATATTAAGTTGGTTAAAGTTTGCAAAGGGTAGGTTCAACTTTTAAAAGTTGAATACAGGATCTATGACCATACAAATATACATAAAGTTGAGCAGTATTTTACATAACATCACATGCTATTATATTGTGTGGTCAGGCATTAGTACACAAAAACATTATTTCAAGAGCGTCTTAAAACAATTCTTACATATGCGTGTACACTTTAACATTGCTGTTATATCTGAGTGCTGAGGGATTGGTCACTGTAATGATTACCCCCTCCATGGATGCAGTGAAGAGAAATCTCTAAAAAAACAGTGTACCTTTAGAAGATTTCCACTTTTGACTAGTCTAATGCAGATGCTTAGCTGATGATTCATAGTAGCTTCAGCTAAACTTTAGAATGAATTTATACAAAAATGATGACAGTGGTGATGTCTTTACAGACTACATGGGCAGGAATGATGATTACAGTGAGCAATAACTTCCTGTAAACATGGACATGTGAGTATTAAGGTAGACTATAAAAATGTGAACATTTAGCACACAGACAGCAACATATTAGTTGCATTTATTACTGTGATAAAGACCTCACTGGTCACTTCAACAGTGCAAAAGCAGAATTGAAGGCTCATACACACACATGCACAGGCTGCCTTGATAAAATCTCGTGCATCAAATTCCAGCAACAAGTTACTGAGAATGTATATTACAGAAATTTTAGTAAAATTAAAAAATGCCTTACAGCAAAAAGCAATACATTACTGTAACATTAATTGCGTTTCTTTTGTAACACTATTTAAGGCAGACGCAAGTTGCTGTCTCGATTATGAAGCTATTAAAATGCTGATTAACGTTAGCTAACAAATATATTAATCCACGTGCTAGCATTAGCTAATGCACACCAGAGCTATCCACCAAGGAAAACATTTTTAAACCCAGACTGAGCTCAACTTTAGTTAACTTACACAACTGTGTTGTCTTGCGAACAATAATAAACTTGCCAAGAAAGACGATTCTGGCAGTCTCTGCGTCTGTCCTCTCCTGCTTGTACTTGCCAGTCACGCCTCTTTAGCTCTTTTCACATTTAACTTCTACAGGGAATTGACCGGATATTCTTCTCTTCTGTGTTCTTTTCTTATTATGTCTGTGGTGTCCACCTTCGCAAAGCCCGAGTCGGTAAAGTAAAACAAAGGAAACCTGAGAAACAAAATTATTTCTGGCCAAAAATAGATTCCTTTTAAACGACTGCAAACACGTTAACCTTCGTGAAGTGGACTTTCACGCTGTGTGATTGGGTCGTCGATTTGAAAACCTTCATTCTGATTGGTCAAATTGAATGCACTGCTAGTGGGCTGGGCGGGAGGAACCACTTCGCCCCTGTGTACATGTGTTTACTGTTTACAAACAGAAACAAGTATATTTACATTATGATTTAAAGTATGCATATTTCTATATGTTGTTGTTTGTTAAGTTAACAACATGTCCTGCTTCCTTTTGGGCCAGGTTACCCTTATGAAAGAGGTCTCTGATCTCAACTGGCTATTTACCTGATTAAAAAAAATTTAAAGAAAGAAAAGAAATGAAAAAATAATAATGTGCTTTTCAAAAATACATTTTAATGTTAAAAAAAAAAGTTTTAAAAATAATACTTCTGGAAATCAGGCTGAAACATGTGGCAATTACATAAAATAATTACAATATTTTGCAGTAGCCTACACAATGAAGCATATTTGGCAATATATTCTTAACCCACTAAAAGTGTAATTGTTTAACAATGTACTTCCACAAAGTACACCTAAATAGTATTTACTAAGAGTTAAATAAATATATTTTTAATAAATAGACTAAAATGTTGTGAAAAATACTTTTACTTTTATTTAAGCATATTTATTAAAAGATTAATTAAGTATATATTTATTACCAATTTATTCAAAGTATACTTTTGAGAAGTATGTTAAAGCTCAGGATAATATATCTTTAATATACTTATAGTAAGCATGTTAGGATTATGAATGTACTATAAGCATACTATGTGAATTTCTAGTATATTTTCAGTGCCTTTTAATAGCACTTCTTTTTGACCTGGGCAGACACTTGTAATTTGAGTACTTTCTCTCCAACAACTCCGAGAAGAATGTTTACATGATTCTTTTCTTTTTATACACGCTTATCTTTAGGTCAACAAAGGAGTCACTGTGGTGGACCTGATCTCATTTGCCAGAGAACTGGAGGCACAGACAGACCTCATTGTAAGAATACCTTGGTGCTTTTCTGGCTGATATACAAACATCCACTCTGCACAGTTTCACAGTGTTTCCTTAGTTTACAGGCACATAATTTGATTTACTTATTTATTTACAATGCAATGGGAGTACTTTTGTGGAGTTTGGTGTCTCCAAGCTTGGTATGTCTTCGTCCAAAACATAACAGCTCTGCATAAACTAAACAGTTTTGGAGAGGAGTCTGACTGCTCTGCCATGCCTTCGGGGGGTTTCAGGAAGGTAACACAACACATTTATTCAACTCTAAATGGCAAGCCCTGTAGGAGCCTCCCAAACAATGGAGCCTACAGTTTAATTCCAATCAATGGTTTATTATAGGAAGACATATTTTAAGTTTGATGTCAAAGAATTCTATTATAGCATCAAAGTTAATTTTCTACCTGCAGCCTTTTGTGTCACTCATAGATCAAATTTCTCATTAACCACTGCATTTTAAGGTGTAATGTTCCTGCACCGGATGCCACTCCTTAACAGGGACAAGAGACAATTACTCCTAAATAATAGAAGAGAACAGAACTTGACTGACTGTTTGAATAAACATACATACTTACTATTATTGACAGTGAGGGAAAAAATAAATAACTAACATGGCTTGTATTGTAGTTAATGGGCTAAAATTTCCTTTAGCACTTAAATGTTTATCTACCTATGTGTGTTTCAGCCCAGAGGTGTTCTGAAGACTTCTCTGAAAGGCCACGTCGGCACTCTGCGGCAGATCCATAGTCAACAGATCATCCCCATGGAGCAGGCCATGGTAATGCTCCACTATGCGTTTACTTTTTCAGTCCAAATATTTACTCCTGGCTGGACTGGTTTTTGATTAGATCTTCTGTCTAGTTCATCCCCTTAAAGGAACCATCCACCATAAACCACTTAAAAACGATGCGTAATTCTGTTATTTTCTGACTTGATTGTTCTTCCCCTCAGCAACTGTGAAAAGACGAACTTACATGACATCATGATAATCATATTTGCAGCAAAGTTAGAGTTTTTTTCATTTACTATTTTTTCTACTTAATATTTTGTTGAGTTTGGTAGTCAAACACAAAGCCAGCATAGACGAGGCAAGAAGCAATTCTTTTATAACACAGTGGCCACAAAAGACCAGAGTGCAATGCAGCCACAGGGCATGCTGTATTTCGACTGAAGGACATTTTTTGTTGGAAAAAAGTATACTTCTTGTTCTATTTTTGCTGCAAGTGCAAGTAATTTCAGTACATCCTCACCTCTTCTTGACTCGGGGTTGCTTTAAGACAGCCTTGGAAATGTACGAAAATAAATAACTTCAGAAGAAAAAGCCGGTTGAGGGCAAATGCATTAGACAGAAACAACCAGAAGAGTGCAAAAGTAGAAGTTCCATTTAAGGGGATGTTGTGACTGGCACTTACTATTTGAGACATTTTTTTATAGATCTAGTACAGTGAATTTGTTTGTATAAAAGATTTGAACTTTAAACGTACTTTAAAACTGCTCTTAATATTATAATAATAATGGTTCAAATGACAATCTGTGACAGTCATCATTTTTTATTATCACCTGAGCAGTTCCCCTCATTTCTAAGGAGCATTTTAGCGTTTTGGTTTTATGCCTCACAAATTCATTGTATTGGTTCAGCCTCACTCATCAATCACAGCAGACATCTGTTTTCGGTGAAAAAGCTCTGATAACCTCACTGTACGCTACATGCTCAGCACCAAACGGCAAACAGAAAAAGTTAGTGACTTGCTGGAGAACACAGTGGAGCATTTAGCTGCTAAGGAGCCTGTTGGTAGAGACCAGAAACAGAGCTCAACCATCAGGTGAGCAGAAACAAAACTCCAAATGAATGATAATGTTTCTTTGTGTGCTTGATAGAGTTATATATATATATATAAGCAACTGTTGCTTACAACTAGGTAATGTCAGTGTTGTGTTTACAGCTTGTTGTGCTGCTCCCATGTGTGGCCAAAAAATGAATTTATGCAGGTTTAAAGAAATTTTACTACAAAACGTACTCCAGGATAATCTATTCTTAGAAGAAAGGTCCATCAAGTCAGTGTTTGCAATGTACAATACTGTAAGTGTGTATACCAAAGCTAGAAGTAATTGGTTTTTTATCTTTGTGCTAATGTCTATTTAAAAGAATGATATCATCCTTGACATAGAAAGTATATTTCAATGTTTCAGTATCAAAAGAAGAATGTTTTTGACCCTCAGGCATGTGTCATCAACCGTGTCATGTCGGTGAAAAACAAATTAAATATTCAGTTATAGTATCTCTGTTAAAGGCAGTGCCATTTTTTTAATAACACCTACAGCTAATTCAGACAAGCAGTGATGCAGTCCACATGCACAACACAGCTTTTTATGTTTTCTTTCTTCTTCCACTTTCAACTTCAAGAAATATGTTAGAGCAAGGGTAAGCAGAAATGTTTCCATCCTGTGTATTTAGTGTCCCCATTCCATATTTGGAGCGTTTAGAGACATATTTTATGTCACAGATGACACATAGTAATCTGAGAATATATATCACAATTTGTATGATATTGTGTGTATGTTCTTGTATTTATATTTACATATACATCATATACTCTATGGTGTTGGAAATAAAGGGTTTTGTACCAAAATACTACAAAATATCCACTTAAGATATATTACTTTAATTCAGGCATTTATTTGGAAATTGTTACATACATTGTGTCATGCAAGAAATTGACTTATTTCTTTCTTTGCATTGTGGATATTTAGTTTTGGAACAAAATCTTCAGCATGCCTGTGCTGAAAGAAGACTATTGTCCATCAAGTGTCGGTTTTGTTCTTGCCTGGTCTCCATTTGTGTTTCACTGGTGTATGTTTCAAGGTGTTAAAATTACCCCTGACTGTATCCTCCGACCTTTGACATTGCTGGCGTTAATTTGTGTTCTTAATTTTTCTTTATTTCTTTAAAAGAGTGCACTGAACCAGAGTATGAGGTTCCTGGAGAGAACAGCCTCAGACCTGCCAGTAAGTAAACCAGCCCTTCAGTCTGAATCGTAAATCTAGGCTCAGATTTAGGTTTAAACTAATATCCAATTTCTTCTCTGCAGAACAAAGTTTTAGCAGTTCTTGATGCCATTGATGCTGCCCAGTACCTCATCTCCCAGAATGCTACACATTTAATAATTCGGGTAATTGAAGGGTCACTTGCTTTGCTTATGAGCTCAATTTGTAAAAGGTCTGTAACTCACATTTTGTCTTAATCTTCCTCAGGAAACAGGAAAATTCACAGCGACTATTGTTGGCTACTTCCATCAATACATAGAATGGGTCAAAACATCTGTAAGTATTTGTTTGTTCATTTGTTTAACTTGTACTGCAGCTGTTATGTGTTGTGTTACAGTGTTTGTTTAGTTCAATAGTCATTTTAGTCAAAACCAAACACTGGTGGTACACAGAGTTATGTACGGGCAAAAATACCTTTGAATGTTACATAAGAGTTTTTGAGTAAATATAGCAAAGACAAATGTAACAATTACAACCTCTATAACTTTGAGGAATTTACTTTGTGGCATATTGGTTTCTGCTGGTAACCTAAGGAATGTTTTGTCTAGCTCAGAGCTGTCAATAGAACATTTTTATTTCAATCAGAATGTCCTTGTTGTTTTGCAAAAACAATTAAGGTGCAATTTTGCAATGTGTATTGACACTTTCAGCAAGCAGGATTTGACATTATTAAGCATAAAACAGAATTTAATATACAGAGTAAGGGGTTAGAATTACTGTTGATACAGTATGTATTCCTTATTCTGTCGTGTGCTGACTGTTTACTGTTTATATCTTGCTCTGTGTAGCTGGCCATGGAGGTCGCACCGTGCAAGCCCTTCAGCAACATGGTGGACACGACGGAAATCATTACTTGCAGTTTCTTGGTCGACTCCATGGTAATTATACAGAGGATACAGGGAAACAAACCCTATTTAAACAGGGGAAGGAATGTATTTTAAAAGGATAGGGTGGTTAGCTGTAGCTCATTGGGGTTGGATATACAGTGGGGGAAAAAAGTATTTGACCCCTTGCTGATTTTGCAGGTTTGCCCACTTACAAAGAATGCAACAATCTACAATTTTAATCATATGTACATTCTAACAGTGAAAGACAGAATCCCAAAGAAAATTCCAGAAAATCACATCATATGAATTTATTAAAATTGATAACCATCTGATGAGGAAAAACAAGTATATGACCCCCTACCAAACAGCAAGTATTCTGGCTCCTACAAGCCAGTTAGTCTTTCTTTAAGACACAGCCCCAATCCCAACCAATTATCTACATCAAATACACCTGCCTCACCTCGTTACCTGTATAAAAGACACCTGTCAACACCCAAACAACCAGCATCCAACATCACCACCATGGGCAAGACCAAAGAGCTTTCTACGGACATCAGGGACAAGATTGTTGATCTGCACAAGGCCGGGATGGGCTACAAGAGAATCGGAAAGAAACTTGGAGAGAAAAGATCAACTGTCGGTGCAGTTATCAGGAAATGGAAGAAGCACCACACCACCGCCATCCTCCCTCGGTCTGGGCCTCCACACAAGATCTCGCCTCGTGGGGTGTCCCTGATCATGCGAATGGTGAGGAATCATCCCAAAACCACAAGGGGGGAACTGATGAATCAACTGAAGGCAGCTGGGACCACAGTTACAAAAGAAACGGTTGGTAACACACTACGCCGTCATGGATTGAAATCCTGCAGCGCACGCAAGGTCCCCCTGCTCAAGAAGAAACATGTACAGGCCCGCATGAAGTTCGCCATTCACCACCTGGACGACTCAGAAGAGGCCTGGAAGAAGGTGATGTGGTCAGATGAGACCAAAATAGAACTTTTTGGCCTCAACTCGTCGTGTTTGGAGGGCAAAGAACACCGAGTACAACCCAAAGAACACCATCCCCACCGTCAAGCATGGTGGTGGCAACATCATGCTTTGGGGGTGCTTTTCAGCCAAGGGGACGGGACAACTCCATCGTATTGAGGGGAGGATGGACGGGGCCATGTATCGTGGAATTCTGGACCAACATCTCCTTCCCTCAGTGAGAGAGCTGAAGATGGGTCGAGGATGGGTGTTTCAGCACGACAACGACCCTAAGCACACCGCCAAAGCAACAAAAGAGTGGCTGAAGAAGAAGCACATCAAGGTTCTGGAGTGGCCTAGCCAGTCTCCAGACCTGAATCCAATTGAAAATCTTTGGAGGGAGCTTAAAATTCGAGTTGCCAGGCGACAACCTCAGAACCTGAATGATTTGGAGGCGGTCTGCAGGGAGGAGTGGGCCAACATCCCTGCCGAAATGTGCACAAACCTTGTCACCAACTATAAAAACCGTTTGACATCTGTGCTGGCCAATAATGGCTTTTCTACAAAATATTAACATGCTGTTTGTCCAGGGGGTCAAATACTTGTTTTTCCTCATCAGATGTGATTTTCTGGAATTTTCTTTGGGATTCTGTCTTTCACTGTTAGAATGTACATATGATTAAAATTATAGATCGTTGCATTCTTTGTAAGTGGGCAAACCTGCAAAATCAGCAAGGGGTCAAATACTTATTTCCCCCACTGTATTACAAAAGATATATTGTAGTCCATTTGGGTCATTTACGTTTGCAAAGAAACTTTTCAAACTTTTTGTCACAGCCAATATAATAAGTTTTTATAATTGTTGATATAAACCCACAGCAACAGTCATTTTGATGGGATTTAGGTTAGTCAAAACTCAAATTTTAGTTCCCACAGTGATGAGGTAGATCAAAAATACACAATATATATTACTTAAATTTCTGTTTTTAATAACAGTTTGAAGGGCTGCAGCTAAGGATGCTATTCATGATTGATAAATCAAGTCAATTAGTCTCTCGATTAATCAATTAATCATTTGTTATACCAAATGTCAAATCATAGTGAAAAATGTCCTAAAGCCCAAGGTGACATCTTTCAAATTGCCTGTTTTTTCCAAACAATATTCTGAAACCCAAAAATATTTAATTTACTATCACGAAGGACAAAGAAAAGAACCTGGAACTCAAGAATATTTGGCATTTGTTTCAGGAAAAATGGCTTCAGCAATTAATAGATTATCAAAATAGGAATACTTGTTTATTAATATGCCAATCAACTAATCAATTAATGGACCAATCGTTTCAGCTCTAATAGCTGGTTCATTTTTTTTTTTTTTACAGAACACATTCTGGATGGGCCTTGGCTGCAGCACTCTCTTCCTGCTCCCAAGCATCATCCTAGCAGTTAAACTAGCCAAGCATTACCGCAGGATGGAAACAGAGGATGTTTACGATGAGTAAGTGGTTGTACTTGTTCTTCAACTACTTCTTTACAACTGCATATATACATTAATTTTGTAGTTTATACTTAATGAGGTATGATATCCTTACTGTATATTATATGGTCAATGGTTGCAGGACATCCTTCTTTCTCTTCAGCTTCTTATTCTCTAACTGCTTTCTAGCTAAACTGCTAATTATAAGTCACTTTTCAGTTTATAGTTTGCTAATTCACATACTTACAAGGTACAACGTGTAAGATATGGCCAGAATTTCGGTTTAAAACATTAAAAAAATGATCTAACATGATCAACAAAATATGAAGTAACAGTTATGATGTCATGTCAAAAACATCTATGTATTATGTTGCAGAGGTATCTACTGAAATTAGCACACTAACCATCTAGAAATAGAGCTGCAATGAGGTATTGCCAATCAGTGCTGTAGCACAAGCTGCTCACCTCCTCCATTGTGCTCCTCGATCTCTCGTTCCTCTGCTTACTATACCTTTTTTTTGTCTTTGTCTTGATCTTCCCTGTCTCTGACTCGGGAGACTGGGTGTAAAATTGTTGTTGTCTGAGGACACACAGGAGCACCTTAAAATTATTGCACCCTTCCTCTCACCACTCATGTTAATTGATTGGGCGGTTCAGGCAGAGTGAGCCGTTGTAGGTACTGATGCGAGCGAAACTGGCCAGAAAACTGATTGATTGTCTATTCTGATAAATGATGAAATAAACATCCCATGCTTGTCAAATTACATTATTACATTACTTATTCACGTTGCCTATTTGTCAGTTGTGACAGAGAGGAGCAGACACAGACAGGCAGGAGAGAAGCCCCTCTCCGCAGATCATCATACAAGGCATTGCCCTTCTAATTCAGGAACTCATAAAATTAATTCATGAGATTATTATAAAGATCAGCTCTACATGTGATTAGAAAAGAGCAGAGGAGCTGAATCGAAATGTTTTTCTGGCTGTGGGGGGAGGAGGTGAAAAGCTGCCACCTATTTGTTTGTAGCATGTGGCCAGGAATTACAAATTGTACCTTCAAGAATTAGATTATTATTTGATAAAATAATGATATTATTTTGAGTTTTAGATTCAATTCAGCCTTTTTAGGGGTTCTTTTTTGGTCACTGTAGCTCTTTAGTGATTATTTATTTTCCTCCCTTGTCTCTTCCTTATAGTTCCTCTGTTTCTGGGACTTGGCATTTTACTTTGTGATAACCATTTCTACTATTTCCATCTTCCATATCTTTTATTTTTTGTGTCATTCCTCTCTGTCAAGCACTTGGCACTTTACAAAGAAACATTGACGCATTCGTCAATTTATATTCCTTCTCCATGGACCCTCACTAGACTAATTTAATCATGGCTTTACACAAATACGACAGAGTGTCTTGATCAGTGGCGTCTCTCGCCATGTGAACTGTGCTGGATTACAGGCAACATTCTGGTGCATTTCTATCGCTGCACATTTCAACGACATTTTTATGTTGTTTTTTTGTGTATCTTTATAGCATTGAGACAATTCCCATGAAAACGTAAGACATTTTACCCACCTTCCTCTCCTTTTCAACTTTCAATCTTTTTCTATGTCTGCTTTTCGCTGGATCTTGTACATATAATTGTATACTAAATTCTTGGTGCTGGTTTATGTTTTTAAGCTTGGAATTGATCTTATGAGTGGATGGTGTGGCTTCTTGTCGTGTGCTACCATTTAAAAGTGCCCCTTACTTTTCATGAAGGGCTCTTGCAATCATTACCTTACAAGTCCACCTGTTTTTGTAAGTTATAGTGTAAATAAAACAATATGGTTTGTATTAAAAAAATATTTATCTCCTAACATTCTTGAAAGGTTTGACTACTCAAAAAGATTTTTACTCTAGACATTCAGCATGCCATGTCTCTCACATTACATTTTTCATCCCTTTTTTGTATACAATATTTTGTTTTCAGTATGGAAATTGGTAATAATGGTTATCATAGTGAGCTCTCACAAGGTATTCCAAATCCTATGATGACAAGGTAAACATTATACTAATCCTGTTACTGCATGTTCTGGGAGGTGGAGGCATGCTTGGGGAAGTGGGTTTTTTCACAAGCATAATGACGTGGTCGGACACAGTGCATGCCTTTGAGGGAGTTGATTCATTGCACATACATTTACACACAAACACATGAACAAAAACGTGAAAGCTGACAAGTAGTGGTAGCTTTAATTAGAAAACATCCTATGGGATATTTTATCAAAAAAGTCATAGTACTTTTAACAGATTTAAACAGATTTGCTATATAGAATTTGAAGGAACACTTAGACAATTTGGGAAATGCACATACTCGCTTTTTTTCTGGGAATAAGATTAGAAGATTGGTTCCACTCTCGTGTCTGTCCTGTCCTGGCTCTGTCTAAAATTTAAATCTGCTTATCAACACCTCTGAAGCTCACATATTAACACAATGTATTGTATCTTGTGAAAAACAGCTAGGCACAATGACAATTGTGTCCTGTTGTTCGTCAAGAAAATGTCAGCACAAAACTTACCCTAAAAGTTTCATAATATTTTTACACACATTAATTTGCCCTTCATGATGATTTGTATGATGTTGCCTCTGACTTTTAATCTTGCACGATCATCAAGTCAAAACTGTTTTTTGTCCAAGCTTTGGTTTACCAAATACCTGCCAAAACTAACATTCCCATCAGCCTCAGCTGTGTTTATTGCTAATTAGCTAATAGCAGTATGCTAACACAGTTTAACTAAGATGGTAAGCATGGTAAACATTAGCCTACAACTGTGAAACATCATGGCTACAGCAACATGCTTAAGTTAATATTTCATCAGTGAGCTTTAGAGGTGGTGGTTATTACATTTTTTGGAGGGACCCGGGTTAGCTGTTCCCTGTTATAAGTCTTTTTATATACTAAGCTCAGCTAACTATGTTCTGACTTAAGCTCTGTATTAATGCACAGAAATGAAGTGATTCGATGTTTTGCGCAGTCTGTCTCGTGTTAATAATTTTGCTACCATTACTTCTCTCTGTCTTGTTGCCAAATGTTCAGCTATATGGTTTTTGGGGAATCTACCATATCACTAACCTGCTGCATGCTCTGTGTGCACATGGGGAATGAAGTGGAATGAAAAAATTTCCTGTTTCCTCTCATTTAGAGTCAGCCAAAGTCCGATGAATGTACACCTGATCATTTTGTTCAGAGAGAGGCAAGCATGTCAAGCTTTGGTGTGATGCTGGGAATGCTGCTCCTTTGATTTCCTTCTTAATCTAACAAAATATCTAACTGCATGTTATAAGTATTTTTAAGTTGCATTTTGACAAAAATTTGTTTGGACAGCCAACCTATTTTTAAAAAAGCTAAAGGAAGAGAGCAAAACAGCTTAATTAAATAGAAGACCACGCACTAGTTGGTCTTAGCTTCCACAATTATCCTCCAGTTCATCTTTTAAACTTGTTAAATTTGTGAAGTGAAGTTTCTTCCAAAAGGAGCTATCCACTTTTTAAGCCAGTGCTGCCTTGCTGGAAAGGT